AGTGCTTTCATTTCAATTTAAATCCTAAAATCTCATTTTAGAAGTAGAGGGACTCTGCCTCCCAATAGCTAAAAGAGGAGTTTAATTTATTTATAAAAATTTCTTAATTTCTTAACCAGCAGAGAAGGGTTGGAACAGTCATAGATTTACTGTCATAAATTGTGGCCACTGTTTCAAATCTGTGTTATTCCTTTCATTTCTATACTATTTCACTTTCCCACTGCCTCCAACCACTATTTCAAACTTCTGCTATTTTCATCAATCCTATTCAACTCACCTCCCTTTTAATTTGCAGCTGATGACATCCTGTATATCTTTAAGAAGTATTAAAAGTCATCTCTACTTCCCAACAAAGCTGCAAACATAAACCTCCATCTGTACCAAGTATACATAAATTATTTTCTAATTTAGTTCAAACATGTAACAAATTAGTGAGTACTTCTCTGATAAATAAAAAAGCAGATAAAATTTATCCTCTTATGGAAATTCCATTCTAGCGATAATTTAAAAAAACTAATAAACAAATGAACACGTGGTGTGTTACAGGATGGTAAGTGCTACACAAACAAACATAGCAAGGGAAGGTATTGGGGAAAGTCAAAAGCAAGTCTGTTAGTTTACAGAGTGGTCCCAGAAAGCCCTATGAGAAGTTACCATTCGTATTGGATAAGAGCAGTGACATAAGTAGCGTGACAAACCTAGCCATGCTCATCTGTGGTCATCTTCCTCCAAGTCCAAGGGAAACAGACTCCTAGTCCCCTACAGCAGTAACAGGCTCAGTGTGTGGATGATACAGCATGGACTCCAGTGTGACTGACACAGTGTCAGAGAGCTGGTATAGGCCAGGACTCCATCTTCCAGGTATGAGAGTGAATCTGTTTTTCACGCTGAGCAGACGTAGGATCATTGGAAGGTCCTGAGCAGAACAATAAGATCTGCCTGGTGTTTGGAAAGGACAACCCTGGAAACTGCCTTGCAAGCACACAAAGGGAAGCAAGGATAAAAAAGCAAGGAGCCCAGTAGGCAGAAGACAACGGATGGTGGCCTTGGCAAGGGTGGAGCAGTTGAGGCAGCATGAGCTCTCGCATACTCTGAGCACACAGCCTTCAAAATATGCTGACTCCCCAGATGTGAGGAATAAGTCAGAAAGAGCAGCCAAGGAAGCCTCTGAGGTGTTTGGCCTAAAAAATTAGAGTAACGAACTTGTCATTACTGAGATTGGAAAACTTTAGCAACATAAATATGGAAGAAGTAGGAGAGAAATCAAATGTTTTTAGATAAATAACCATGTTTTCATGACAAGATGTGCTCAGTTTGAAGTTCCTGTTTGTAACCAACAAGTTTGTTGGAGGGGCTGGCATTATAGCACAATGGGATAAGCCACAGCCTGGTGCATCAACAACTCATATGAGTGCCAGTTCTAGTCCCAGCTACTTCACTTCTGATATAGGCAGGGGAAAGCAAACAAAGATGACTCAAGTACTTAAACCCTTACAATCCACATGGGAGACCCAGATGGAATTCCTGGCTCTTAGCTTTCAACTGGAATTTCCCAGGATTTTGCGGCCATTTGGGGCATGAACCAGTGGGTGGAATATCTCTTTGTGTCTGTCTGTCTCTTTCTGAATTATAAATAAATGAACAAGTATTTAATGAAAAGATAATTCAAAACGAGCCCCAAGTTTAGGAGAAGCAACCAGGCTGATGTATTGTTAGAAAGCTCTTAGGATGGAATGAGATACAAAGTCATGAAACTGAATAAAATCAACCACACAATGCATGTGTATACAGACAAAAAGCGGTCTAAAGACAGAGCTCTGTGTCAATTTAGAGTCCAGGAGATGATCAGGAAGCATCAAAAGACACCAAGAAGGAGCTGCCAGGATCAAAACAAGAGTTATTTCAGTAAGAAAGGGGAAAGAATATTCCAAAAAAAAAAAGAAAATACAAGTAGAAAAGAACTTCTAAAGTATCAAGTTGGAAGTCAGGAATTAAGAGCCAATGTTGCTGGGTGAGGGAGACTGTACTTTATCTGGTGGGAATATGTGGAGTTGTTGGCTAGACAAGCACTATAGTGGAAGCGTTAAAGTTTAGAGGAACCACCCCAGCCTCAGAGGGAGGACAAACTGTTGCAGGTTCCTGGGAAGGGAATACTGACAAGACTGTAAAAGGGATTATGATACAAAGGCAACTACTCTGTTTCAGAACAAAGAACAGACTGTGACCCGGAAGGAGGGAAATAATGCAAAAAAATGTTGAAGGTGAAAACGGCAGCTGATCTTGGATTCTGGAGGGGGTGAGGAAGAGACAGAATTTTTTTTTAGAGATGTATTTATTTATTGGAAAGGCAGATATACAGGAAAAAGGAGATATATAGAAAGGTCTTCAATCTGCTGGTTCACTCCCCAAGTAGCCGCAACGACTGGAACTGAACTGATGATCTGAAGCCAGGATCCTGGAGCTTCTTCTGGGTCTTCCATATTGGTACAGGGTCCCAAGGCTTTGAGTCATCTTCCACTGCTTTCCCAGGCCACAAGCAGGAAGCTGAATGAGAAGTGGACCAGCTGGGACATGAACCGGTGCCCACATGAGGATCCTGGCACATGCAACGCAAGGATTTAGCCACTAGGCTATTACGCCAGACCCAAGGAAGGATTGAAGCATGGCATCCACACTTCTGACCTGAATGATGAGGTGGAGGGCACTGGCATTAACCAATATAAGAAACAGATGAGACAGTTTAGGGAAAGTGAAGGTGATGATGTGTAATATTTTATATTTGAGATGTCTATGGAATTATCAAGGAGTTATGATTAGCAAAAAGAGAATAAAGTTTGAAACTTGGGTTTCAATTTAGAATTTCAAATGCATGTGGAGGGCCCGGCACGATAGCATAGTAGTTAAAGTCCTTGCCTTGAACACGCTGGGATCCCATATGGTCACCAGTTCTAGTCCTGGCAACCCCACTTCCCATCCAGCTCCCTGCTTGTGGCCTGGGAAAGCAGTCGAGGACGGCCCAAACCCTTGGGACCCTCACCCGCATGGGAGACCCGGACAAGCTCCCAGCTCCTGGCTCAGCCCTGGCCGTTGCAGCTGCTTGGGGAGTGAACCACTGGACGGAAGATCTTCCTCTCTCTCCTCCTCTCTGTATATCCACCTTTCCAATAAAAAAAATAATAATAAATACATTTGGAAGTGATCAATATAGAAGCTATAGTTAGGCAAACTTGTAAGTTAGAAGTCATTATGCTTCTTCAAACCTATAATTAAGGCCATAGTGGAGATAAGTGACAAAATAAAAAAGCAAATGACTATGCTAAGAGGAAGGAAAAAGGGTGAAGAAAAAGAAGAGTAGGAAAAAAAAATAAAACTTAGAAAGTATTCCAGAGCCTCCCGGCAGTTGGTGGGTCTCAGGACGGGGCGTCTCATGCCTGGATCCCAGACAGCTGCCATGTGCACATGGTGAGCTGTTCCCGGGCCTGCTGGGCTGCTTCCTTCGGGTGGAAGTCGGGAGTGAAAACAGAATCAACCCAGCAATTGCAACCACCAGCTGATTGGAGCGATGGACAGTGCCAGGCCCTGTACTTGTTAGCACATACAAGAAGTTTCTTTGGAGATCTTCCTAATCTAAATGCTGGACTCAGAACCCTAACCAAGAAAAGAGAGAAGACAGAACAGGTCAACCAACCAACTCAGCTATGATGGACTATGTCAATCAGTGGATTTTTCAAAGACCTCATAGTGCTTGGAGTGGCAAGATTGGCAGCGATTCATAACGGTTGAAATATCAAAACCACTTGAGCAAGAACCTCAGAGCATGCCCTATATCCGGGACCTGGGGAGGGTGGGAAATTGAGTGGGCCTTCTCCCTTAATTCCCCCCTTTAAACATGAAGGTAACAATATGGAAAACATACTAGTATTATCCACTTTCCTGTAGCCCTTGAGCCTTCTTACCCTAATTAACTATGTAAAGATTGTCAAAATAAAAATAAAATTTTACATTAAAAAAAAAAAAGAAAGTATTCTAAACCAGACAAACCATTAATTCTATCCAAATATCTATGGCTTTCTCTAAACATCCTTTCTCAGGACAAACAGCATATTTACTTACCTTTCTGACTGCAGCTACATTTCAGGAAACAATTTACAATCATGACAATGTACAGTGACTGTTTTTTTTTTCCTAAACTTGGTCTACTAAAACCACAGCTAGCATTTGTAGCAAAGTTTATTTCAATTCAATTTAAAAAATACTGAAATAAGTGTTATTCGTACAAAAATGAGCAAGGTGCATTTATCTGGATAATTCTTAGAACAATCTTTTCCAAATACAAGCCTAATCGAATCATTCTGGTTAACACCTCTGCAGCAGAGATGCCTGGTTCCCCTCAATTCTCTGCTGCAATGGCTGACACAGCCATCAAGACCAGATCTTCCATGTGGCCATATAACAAACTTATATGTTAGTAGAAATACAGAAAACATCTGGAAAGGAAAGAGCTTTCACCTCTTCCCTATTTCCCCACTTTGCCTGACTTTGACTAGAATGTAGATATGCCTGGAATTGGAAGTACCCTTGAGGATGGAGGCTGCACAGAGCAGACCAGCAAGACAGAATCAGCCTAGGGACCTGGAGCTGTGGGTGAGCTTCACGCTCACTGCATGTAGTATCAACTAAACCATTACCTTGCTGCTCTTGTTTCTGATGGCAGACAGCCAACCAATATACCTTTAATATGATAATCATAGTGGAATTGTATCTGCCTTCTAACTCTATCCATCCTAATGTCTGACTCTAAAGTTGAAATGGAATGCATAACAACTTTAATATTAGAAATACTCACCTCATGCAAAAAGTTATCTACCAACTGAAAGTAAATAATTAACAGACCTTATTAAAAATAAGTTACTATATTCTCAATATATATCTCAATGAAAACAAAATTCTTAACCCATTAATACTGACTTATCAGCACAACTTTAAGTACTTAAACTTACTTCTTTTGACGGATTCATTGGTAATGTAAAGATAGTTTTCCAGTATGACCAGACAAACATTGCAAAAAGCAGATGATAAGCCATGAGGCACACAACTGGAATGAGAGAAACATAATTATCATTATAATATACAAATATGGTCTCAAATCATAACACTCATAAAAATTCCAGCTATTCTAAAAATAACCAAAGTACCAATATACCAAATTGTAAAGGTTCAGTTATATCATAGCAAAAAAAAAAAGTACAACTCATTGAATATTCGCCTAAAGCTAAGAGGTTTTTATAAAAGAATCTACAACCTGAATTATCAGGTCTGTTGCCAATAATGGAGCTCTTTCACCTAAATACACATGCCCATCTACTGGCTAACTGGCTGCCAAGGATCCTCCCTAAGCTGCAAAACTAAGGAAGTCCTGACAGCAACCTAACAGAGGAAGCGCAGCTTAGAAAACTATGAAAGCTTCAAGAACTTTGTTTTACTATCCTGGGTAGCAAAAGCAGTTTCTGTTTGATAAGCTGTGGACTAACTTGGCTAGCTATACCCAAAGCATATATCCAAATCATAACAACAACATATTTAAACACAAAGCACATGAACAAAGATTGCCTCTAATAAGAGTGCAACTGCCTTATTTATGACATGAAACTGCAGAAACACATTCGGAATCCTTGCTTCAGATTATATATTTATATATTTATAAATATATATATTTATAAATATTATATATTTATGCCTATATAAATATAAATATAGGTATATAAATATTTATATACCTATATCTAAATATATATTTATATGCCTATTATAAATTATATTTATAAATATAAATATATATATAACCACACGATGAATGTTGTTTTAAACAAGGTTTTAAAGTCCTGTACAAATTTAAAATACTAGTATTTCATGGTGATAATGATTCATTTGAATAGTACATTTATATGCAATTCTGTAAGACACAGTATTAAAATACAGCATATTAGTATTTAAAATTTTAATGGCAATTATTAATTTTTCTAAAAAATATATTTAGAATTAAAATAATGAATTATCCAATAAGGAGCTAAAATAAGTCTGATATGAGTATAGTCAGTGATATTTTTCAGGAATCATTTAGGTGACTTGGTTGCGGAGAAATATCTTGAGTTGAACATAAGACTGTTAGTATCCTTATACGAAAGTCACAGAAATCTTGGGTGTCATTACACCTGCTTCAAGATAGAGTCAGCCACCACGTGTCCGAAAGAATTCAGTCTAGAGACTCGGCAACGACACATCTTTATCCCTGCCTCATCTCCTTATTCTCAGAGAATATTTTATTAATCACAATGAAATAGAAATGGATACAACTTGGTTTTCTTCAAACTGTTTAAAGTTTTATTCATATAAGAACAGCAGTATATTTTACCTTGTTCACCAATGTTTTCCATGGAAACTATGGAAATAAATAGAAAAAAATTCATGTTATATGAAGTCTGTGGCAAACATGGGATCAAGAGAGACATAAAGCATTGATGTAGTTTCAGAACTTGGCTTCAAACCAATATTCTTTGAATATTCATTCCACTTTAGAGCAAAGGCAAGCACTACGGAGCAAGAGGGTGGAGGAGGAGAATGGTGGCTACCTTCAGCCACACCTGTTTGGCACACTAGAACTCAGCCGCCCACCCAGCCAAACCACACCTCCAAGTGTGATATCCAGACTGTAGCAATACACAGGCCAAGACCCCATATGAATCATATTTCTGTTCTCCTTTCAACTGTTCAGATCAAAACAGGGTTCTCCAGTTCATTACATTCCCTGAGACATCTACTGCTTTATGAAATGGCAACCACTTGGTCAGCGCTCCACAAATGTGTCCACAGCATATACTCTTCTCAGATTTCTGTAAGTACAAATCCAGATGTCCCATTACACTAACTGCTTCCTCTGTACAGTGTAGAATCCAGGCAGTACTTAGAAAAGGTTATTCCCGGGTCTGGCACGATAGCAGTGACTGAATTCTCGCCTTGCAAGCACTAGGGTGCCACATGGATGCTAGTTCTTCTCCACTTCCCAATCAGCTCCCTGCTTGTGGCCTGGGAAAGCAGCCAAACATGGCCCAAAGCCTAGGGACCCTGCACCTGCATAGGAGATTGGGAAGAAGTTCCTGGTTCCCGGCTTTGGTTCAGCTCAGCTCTGGCCATTGCAGCCATTTAGGCAGTGAAGCAGCAGACGGAAGATCTTTTCTGTATCTTCTCTCTGTATATCTGCCTTTTAACAAATCTTTTTAAAAAATGTCTTTCCTTATGCTATTTATAAGAAATCTTCAAAAACCATGTGATAAACGTATATTATGAAGAAAATCTGCATAGATTAAAAAATGTTTGCAGCAAAAATTATCATTAAATTCCATTTATCTATGCACTTTCAAAGGTGCCCTTACAAATACATCCAAGCAGCCACTAACTGGGACAAGAGCCACCAAAGCTAAAACAAGCTCAACAAAAAGAATGCAAGCCCAAAAAAAGACAAAGAGAATCATTTCCTTAGCTTCACATCATTCATTTATTTTACTTTCCATTTAGTCTTCCTCTTTGCTGTAGACTTTTGAAACCTTGGGGAAATTTTTTACTTTGTTTTGGTATTTGAGCTCCTATTCGGCTTTTAGTGAGGCACCTGACCCATGGCCTTTGTCCTGGAAGCTTGAATGAGAGAGAGTTTTAAGAACACCTGAGGCAAACAGCCGGATCCTTCCCACCAGAGCTGCTGATAGTCACCCGCAGGGCTCACAGCTTTGGGAAGCAGGCCACTCCACCACTGGACAGCCCTAGGAACGCGGAGAAGTCAGCAATACTGTTCTGAAGTGTGTTTCTCTGCACTATCCAGGCTGTAGCAATACATAGAAAAATCTGAATGACAAGAGTTGGACATTTTTAAAGTTACTGTGACTCCATTAATAGTTCTCTTTATGCCACATGATTGTTGGAGACTTCTTCACAATCTCAATTTGGGATCTTAAAAAAGTTTCCCTTTAACGTTCCTGAGCCCCTGAATAGGATGAATTTTAACTTCCATTCTACAAAGCTGCTTGTAAGTGAGAGGCTAGTGGGTGTTTCACTTTGTTAACATGTGTATTTTTTTTTTAACAGATTTCATATAATGAGTAGATACAAATCTAAGAATATACTGGTATTCCCTCCCTCCCACTTTTCCTCTTCTTTTTTTGCCTTTTGAGATGTTTTAAATTTACATTACAGTATAAAGGCTGAAAGCTTCACCAAGAAGTTCAACAAGTAAAAAGTGAAAAGACCCTATTTTTGGGAACAGAGAAATAAACAACTGAACGGAGTTCACCTTCTCCCTGACCCCTGAAGAGGATCAGCAGAGGGCACTGGGAGCACGTGAGGCAAGCTTGCTGTTAGAATTGAACTTATCGCCACCTTTATGTATTTCTAGGCCTCCGCTGCCAATCTTGAAAAGTGCTTAGATCAAAATGGGCCATCATCCTTCAGGGGGGTTAAGCAAAGTAAATGGAAATGTAATTTGTGTCCATTTGTGCATTTATGTAGCAGCGACCCTTCACCAGCATTCCAGTGGTGTCTGGTTTTAGAAACATGCATTTGTTAACCTATGACTCTAGCTGACAGACCTGGAAACAGTAAAAAAAAAAATCACATTTCTAAAAAAGAAACAGTATAAGCTGATCATCTTTTTGACTAGGAGGACTGCTCCACTGGCTGGAAATGCATTCAAAGACATCTTTTTTATGCTTTTAAAGTTGTATATATGAAACATATGAATTATGTTCCCTTTATATAAATTAGAAATGCTTTTAAAAAAGGAAAGAAGGAAGACACAATTGAGGGAGATTTTTCATAGGCTGTAACACAACCAAAAAGGCAGAAAAAGTTTATTTTTATTTGTAAGATTATTATATCATGGTATTATTTAAAATAATATATAATTATCATATTAATAATATAGTACATATTATAATAAAGAACTTGAAAGAGAAAACTATTTTTGCCATTCATAGCTTATTTTTCCTAAAATGCACTTCAACATTCATAGATGCTCCATTGTTTCAATTAAAGCAATTACATACAGATAACTATTTATACCAAATAATTCTGACAACATCTCTGAAAGGAAATGTAAAGATCCAAAAAGGCTCAATCCAATCACACTCCTGCCCAAATTCTAGATCTATCCAGTTTCCTATAGGAACAGAGAGAGTAACAGAAATTTTCCATCTGGTTCACTCCTAAAATGCTTGCAACAGCCAAGGAGAGGCAAAGCAGAAGCCCTGGAGCTAAACCAGCTCTCCCACATGGGTGAAAGGCGCTCAGGTACTGGAGCTAATTCACCAGCTGCACGGGAAGGGAGCTGGGTTGGAAGTGAGGAGCTAAGACAGACTGCTGAGGGATGCAGAGGCCCCAAGCGGCACGTGAAGTTAACCAGCTACAGCACAATGCCTGCCCAAAATGAATCTTTCAGTTTTGTCACCATTATAGAACAAAAAATAATTTTCCAGACTACTAGAGGGATTTAATATTATTTAAAAAATTCAATAAAATTTCCTCCATCTTGGAAGTGGATTCTTTACTACTGGTCTATGTTTTGGAACTGAGAATATTTTATGTTCTAGACAATAAAACTCTCCCTGTCATGTATGCCCAAATTATATTTACATATACTGCAACTATTTGCAAACAAATGAGTAAGTATCAGCAAAATTTTATGACATCACCAATTAAATAACAATTGTCAAATTTTTCAAATTAACATTTCCTTGGCAGATATATGGACTCTACTATGTTTTACTATAAAATTCTTGGAAAATAAATGTCCCTTCAACCAGATATACTCAATTAGTAGGTCAGTGATTCCCATGACACTTTCTGATATGCCAGGGCTGTTCTGAGTTTTCCTTCTTACTACATGAAAACACAGTTATTTTCAAGTAACAACTGGATAACCTACTTCAGTTGTTTTTACTACATTTCATATACAAGTAACTATATAAGCATATTTAACCTCATATATTTATATATGTATGCAAAAATACATATGCACAAAATAATTACTTTTGAAAACAGAATTTATGTCAACGTGAAAATTAAATAGCAACAATGAACATATTTATGATGAATATTCCAAAAATCACTACTGAGCTTTACTGTGAATTTTTAGTTTTAGTTCAGTATTACTTCATTCTTTGAGTTTCAAATCAATCCATTTTACACTTATGCTAATAATTATTCTTCAGCTACAACACAGAGACATTTCAGGAGCTTATAGCCACTTGTTCTCCATGTTCTTAAAGCTAGTTATGGAGATAAACTAATATGTATACATTTAAATTTTTCATTTATTTGCAAAGTAGATAGGGAGACAGAGGTCACTCATCCACTGCCTTACTAACAGAACCCACATTGGTGGCAGGAAGCTAACTTGGGTATTGTAGGGTTTGATGGATCATTTCAGCAGGGAGCTAGAACACTCGCCATGGGCTGCCTGAAGCTTCTTTTCATGGGAGAACGTTCAAAAGAGTTGAGAGAAGGTCTTGTGTGCTAACCTCAGCATCCTCACATTTTAAAAAGATTTCTTTATTTCTATTGGAAAGGCCGATATACAGAGAGAAGACAAAGAGAGAAAGATCTTACATCTGCTGGCTACCTCCCTAAGTGACTGCAATAGCAGGAGCTGAGATGATTCAGAGCCAGGAGCCAGGAGCTTTTTCCAGGTTTCCCATGGGTGCAGCATCCCAAGGCTTTGGGCCATCCTAGACTGCTTTCCCAGGCCACAAGCAGGGAGATGGAGCATCCTCATTCTTTAAGAGCAGCCCCTAGTTCAGCCTAGTTCATCATCATTTCTGCTTTTTCTCCTTATAACAAGGCAGCATGGGCCCAGGCTGAGAAATGCAGCATGGATACCCAGCTTGAAAATGAGAGGGTCTTGGTCCTTCTGCCACCTAGGGTATGCATTAGCAGGTACCTAGGACCAGAAGAACTGGAAACAGAACCCAGGCACACATGGAATAGGACACAGGCATCAAGTGACAAGTAACCATTGTGCCAAATATCCATCCAGAAGTCTAAAAAACAAGTGATTTCTACTTCATTTTAATTGAAGCAAAAGATTTGTTCTGAAAAAAAAAAATCAGTAGCACACTGACTATGGCAGAAAGTCTTCTATTTTCAGCTTTAAGATTTCATGCATGTAACAAAACTGCCATGACTTTGGGCTCTGCTGGATTATTTTGAAATGCATTCTTTGCTACAAAACAATACCTGGCATACAGCATCTGCCTCATCAGTGTTTCCTCAAAGAGTGACTTGGACAGCACAAAATATAGCTAATACAAATCATTTAAAATGGCAGATCAAAGCGGACGTAGGAGCAATTCTCCTTTGTTCTTTAACAGACACACATAAAAAAAATCAAAAAAC